TGTCAATATGGACCAAAATCTCTGAGGAATGCTTCCAGCACCTTGTTGAATCTATGCCACGAAGAATTGAGGCAGTTCTGAAGGCAAAAGTGGGTCCAACCCGTTACTAGCGTGGTGTACCTAATAAAGTGGCCGGTGAGTGTACATGTGAATGAACAGTGGTGGAACCAAACCCCCAACTCTCTAATTGGACAACAACTGCTCTAAGCACTCACAGCTGCAATCTGGTTTTCACTTATATCATTTACTGCGATGTTATTTTACATCCTGTTTACAATGCCAAATTTGACACAATATGACAACAAAAAGTGTTGACATCCTTGAGTGTGTGCGGTTACAGACAGTAGTTCTTAATCTACAGTGGGGGAAATAAATATTTGATCCCTTGCTGATTTTGCAAGTTTGCCCTCTTACAAGACATGAACAGTGTATAGTTTTAAGGGTAGGTTCATTTTAACAGTGACAGAAAAAAATCCATTATATAAATTATATAAATTAATTTTCATTTTGCAGAGAGAAATAAGTATTTGACCCCTCTGGCAAAGAAGATTAATACTTGGTGGCAAAACACTTGTTGACAGACATTTTTTTTGTAGTTGATGAGGTTTGCACACATCAGGAGGAATTTTGGTCCACTCTTTGCAGATCATCTCCCAATCATTAAGATTTTGAGGCTGTCACTTGGCAACTCTGATTTCAGCTCCCTCCGAAGGGTTTTGATGGGATTAAGGTCTGGAGACTGGCTAGACCACTCCATGACCTTAATGTGCTTCTTTGTTGCCTTGGCTGTATGTTTTGGGTCATTGTTGTGCTGGACGATCCAGCCACGACCCATAGTGGCAGAGGGAAGGAGGTTGTCACTCAGGATTGGCTCCATCCATTCTCCTATTGATGCAGTGAAGTAGTCCTGTGCCATTAGCAGAGAAACACCACAAAAACATAATGTTTCCACCTCCATGCTTGACAGTGGGGATGGTGTTCTTTGGGTCATAGTCAGCTTTTCTCTTCCTCCAAACATGGCGAGTTAAGTTAATGCCAAACAGTTCAATTTTTGTCTCTTCTGACCACAGCACCTTCTCCCAGTCACTCTCAGAATCATCCAGGTGTCCACTGGCAAACCTCAGATGGACGTGAACATGTGTCAGGGGAGCTTGCAGGCASTGCAGGATTTTAATCCAGTATGGCGTAATGTGTGTTAACAAGTTTGCCCCGTGTAGTTTTAGGCTGATGTCTCACCTTCCTCATGATCAAGGAAACCCCACGAGGTCAGATTGTGCATGAAGCCCCAGATCATTTTCTTTTTCTTCCATTGTCTTACTATTGCACCAACAGGTGTCTCCTTCTCACCCAGCATCTTACTGATGGTTTTGTAGCCCATTCCAGCCTTGTGCAGGTCTAYGATCTGGTCCCTGACATCTTTAGACAGCTCTTTGGTCTTGCCCATGTTGTAGACGTCAGAGTCTAACTGATTAATTGAGTCTGTGTGAGTCTTTTATACAGGTGACAATTTAAAACAGCTGTCTTTAATGATAAATGGACTGAACTTTAATGCAGGTAACATGTTGATTAGGAGTGTCTAACTGGTCTGTAGGTGCCAGAATGCTTTTTTTAGCATTAGCCCCGATGCTATCACCATATATATGTATTAGCTCAGCGCTACACATTCTCCTCTCATCACTGAGGTCCTCCATCCACATGACAG